CCAAAGAGATAATTAAGTAAAATCGACGGTTAGAACATAGTGGACCTTAATCCAATCTGCTGGTGTTCTTATAAGAAAAGCAATTTAGATACACAGAAAGATACCGGGGATGTACACAGAGAGGGAAGACAATGTGAGGACATCCAGAGAAGATTGCCATGGGTGAGCCAAGAAGACAGGCCTTAGAAGAAACCAGATCTACTGACACTTGATCTTGGAAATCCAAAATCCAGAAGTGTGAGAAAAGACATTTCTGTGTTTAAGCCACCCAGTCTGTGGGATTTTATTAGAGCAGTCCTTGCAAACGAATACATCTCAAAACCCAAATTAAATTTTCAATTAGTATTTACTGTCAGTAAATTCAGTTCAGAAGCTAATATAAAAACTACTTGTGATAATATAATTGACTTTTAGTACTTTAAAACTTAGCATTAAATATAGGAATAAATTGTAAATATGTTTGGTATTTTAAAACTTTAAATACCTACATTTAAAAATAAGTAGTTTATGTTTTAGAGAAGTTGGCACATTAGAATACAGAATATCTAACAGATAAGTCTTGTTATTCCAATTTAATGTGTGATAATTGAATAATTGATTCAGACATGATTTTAAGTTTAAATTTTATGCATTTATAAGCCATACTGGAATATTTTAAGCAAACTTAAGAGTCATTATATTTATTCTATTAGGTTTAAAATAGCCATTTAAATGCATGGGAAAGCTTATTTTTAGCTAAAAATTTAAAATCCTTAGAAAATTAAATATAATCAAGTTTATAATTAAAATTTAAAATGTTCAAAGGAATTTAGTTAAATTATAAAAGGACCCATAAAAGTGTTAAAATTTGGTCAAATCTATAGATAGAATAATAAGATTCGTACATTACAAAGTATATAAAACTATGGTTTTTAATTTATAAATTTAATAAGTCAAATATTTTATTACAACAGAAAAGTTGTAAGTACACCAGCAAAAGCTTTTTCCCCTGAATTATTTATAAACAATCTACTAACATGATCCTTCCTTGAAGTCTAATGTAATTTCCTACATTTAAGAATATTCTACTACATAACCAGAATATAATCAAAAGTGGGAATGAATCTAACCACAATATAATCATCAAAACTGGGAAATAAATATTCTTCTATTACTACCACTTAATCTTTAGAACCTTAAATTTTCACCAGTTGGAAAAATTAAATTTTCACCAGTTGCCCCCAAATTCCCTTTATAGAATAAGGATCCATTTCAGAATCATGTGTTGTATTTCATTGTGATGTCTTTCTATTCTTCTCCAGCCTGGGACAGTTTCTCTTTTTACCTTCACTGTCATGATCTTCACACTTCTAAAGATTACAGGCCAGTTATTTTGAATAACATCCTTGGATCTGGGTTTGTCTGAGTTTTCTTTTGATTAGATTCAGGTTATGCAACTTTGGAAGTATTATTACAAAGCGGATGCTATGTTCCTCTGTTGCATCAGATAGGCCTTGCTCTTCCAATTTCAAACGTCGTATTTGACTAATTGATTGACACATGAATCTTATTTGCTATGGCATAAATTCATTTTGCTTCATTACTGACAATATTCTCTTTGATAATTTGCTGAAAGTGGTATGTGCCATTGTTTTCTCTGTAATTAATAAATATTTTATAAATACTGTGTAAATATCCTCTTTGTTATCTGACTTACAATTTATTCATGTCTGTAGATGAACATGGACTCATTGTTTCTTATTTTAGCTCTGTAATTATCAGTTTTCTGATGCCCCAATTGTCCCAGATTTGGCCAGAGGGTACCCTTCAAACTGAGTTCTGTGATCCTTTTGATAAATCTCATTTGTTTTTGAGAACTTTTTAACTTCCTGGCATAAAAAGATATTCTAGACTCTTGCATTTTTCCTGCTTCAGCTCCCAAATTAGTTGTTTTACCAAGGATCCCTATCCCTGTTTTTTTGGTGGAAAATGGTGTTGAGAATCTAAGATCTGGGCACTAGGTATGCTCATTGACATTGGTGGGTGGCTGCTCCTGGGCTCTTCCAGTGAACAGAGTGAGGGACTATACATGCACATATGTATATTCTATATCTATTCTATATTTTATATACATTGAAAGTGATGTGATCACCCTGATATGCCCAATTCCAATTTAACACCACTCCACTTACCCTGCTTGGGATCTGGCATATTGTGCCTAGCCATCAGCTTCCCCATGAATACACCCTTGCACTTGAACTGTGACTTCCTGCTTTGGGCTCTCCCAACCCCACACCTAAGCAGATTTCCACTGGGCTTATCCCCACCTAATTGCCTCAGTACAAGGTTGTTTAAAAGAAAGCAAATTGAATCGGAAAAAGAAGAGAAATAACCAAATATTATTTTTTTAATAAAAAGTGGCTTCAAATAATATATTTTTCTGCCCAAAAGCCACCTTCAGGGCACAGTAGGAAAAAAAATGCTTATTTCTACCGTAACGTCTTGATTTTTCTTTTTTTTCTTTCTTTCTTTCTTTCTTTTTTTTTTTTATAAGAAAAAGAATAAAGAAGAGGAAGAAAGAGAAAGAGGAAGAGGGAGAGAGGATGGGGGTATTGCTTTATTGCCCGGGCTAGAATGCAATCTAAATATGGGTATGCCTATAATTGTCCTTAATAATGGAGATGTAAAAGAAAATGAGGGAAGAGAATAACAAACAAGGAGCCAACGAACATTTCGTTTAAACTTCTAAGTTGATATGATGTGGTACTGATCTACGTATTCCTGTATTGGATGCGTATATATTTAGGATCTTTAGCTCTTCTTGTTGTTGCATTGATCCTTTTATCATTATATAATGTCCTTCTTTGCTTCTTTTGATCTTTGTTGCTTAATTTTAACTTCTGCTTTTTATTTATTTATTTTAGCCCTCTGTTTGGTTGGTAAATCCTTCTCCATCTCTTGTTTTAAATCTTTGTGTATCCTTGAATGTGAGATGGGTCTGGATGCAGCATACTGATCGGTTTTAGTTTTTTATTCAAATTGCCTGTCTGTCTTTGGATGGGGGATTTAGTCAATTTAAATTTAGAATCAATAATAATATATGTGAGTTTAATACTGCCAGTTAATATTAGCTGGGTATTTTGCCCATTAGTTGATGTAAATTCTTCATTATATTGATGCTCTTTTTGGTATTTTTTTTAAGAAAGGCTGATACTGTTTATTCCTTTCTATGTGTAGTGGTTCTTTCAGAATCTCTTGTAAAGCAGGCCTGGTGGTGATGAAATCTCTGAGTGCTTGCTTATTCACAAAAAACTTTATTTTTCCTTCACTTGTGAAGCTTAGTTTGGCTGGATGTGAAATTCTGGGTTGAAAGTTCTTTTCTTTAAGGATGTTGAATATTGGTCCCCACTCTCTTCTGGCTTGTAGGGTTTCTGCTGAGAGATCTGCTGTAAGTCTGATAGGCTTCCCTTTGTGGATAACCTGACCTTTCTCTCTGGCTGCCCTTAGTATTTTCTCCTTCATTTCAACCCTGGTGAATCTGACGATTATGTGCCTTGGAGTTGCTCTTCTTGAGGAATATCTCTGTGGTGTTCTCTGTATTACCTGGAGTTGAATATTATCCTGCCTTACTAGGTTGGGAAAATTTTCCTGAATAATGTCCTGAAGCGTATTTTCCAGCTTGGATTCATTCTCTTCCTCACTTTCAGGTACACCTATCAAGCGTAGATTAGGTCTTTTCACATAGTCCCATATTTCTTGGAGACTTTGCTCGTTCCTTTTTATCCTTTTTTCTCTAATCTTGTCTTCTTGTTTTATTTCATTGAGTTGGTCTTCGACCTCTGATATCCTTTCTTCTGCTTGATCAATTCGGCTGTTAAAACTTGCGCATACTTCACGAAGTTCTCCTATTGTGTTTTTCAGCTCCATCAATTCACTTATATTCCTCTCTAAATTGTGTATTCTTTTTAACATTTCGTCAAATCTTTTTTCAAAGTTCTTAGTTTCTTTGGATTGGTTTAAAACAAGTTCTTTTAATTCACAGAAGTTTCTCATTATCCACATTTTGAAGCCTGCTTCTGTAATTGGAACACACTCGTTCTCCATCAAGCCTTGTTCCGTTGCTGATGAGGAACTGTGATCCCCCGTTGAGGGAGAGGCGTTCTGATCTTGGGTATTCTCAGCCTTTTTTGGCTGTTTTCTTCCCTTTGTTATAAATTTATCCATCTGTGGTCTTTGTATTTACCGTCTTTGTAATTGGTTTTCTGAGTGGACGTCCGACTTATTGATTCTCAGCGCCGAAATCTGAGCAACCCACTGCACCGACTAAATCAGCGGCGTTAAGATTGATGGTGCTTCTTTGACTCTGCATGAAGAACCGACGCTCCCAGGCGCCGGCAAAACTGCCTCGCCGGTCACAAGAGTCGCGCCGGCGACCCGTGGGGCTCCTCCGCTGGGAATCTCCTGGTGCGTGAGCAACAAGAATTCATGTGAAGGTATGGCGTCCTCTCGCTCTCTGTGCTTTCACTGGGAGTTACAATCCCGAGCTGCCAGTGATCAGCCATCCTGGATCTCTCTCTTGTTGATTTTTCTAAAATCTAGTTTCCTTTAGGTTTCATTTCCTGAGCTTCATTGTTACAGGATTAATGTTATCTAGGCATACATGCATATTAAACACTTTCATTCATTTTATAAATCATCTCGTGAGATAGTGCAGATTTTACTTCCTTTCGTACTATTGAAAAAACCTTGTATTTATATTTGCTTGTACTTGACTGCTCATTTAGGACCCCTTAACAGTCAATTTTCAATGATTTTAGCAGCTAGCATTGCCATATGGCAAAAGCTTGGTCAATTCAATTTAGCAATAGTAGGATCTGGAACAATTTTCTTGTTTTGAAAATCTGAGCTATAATATGTTACCAATTATAGTATCTTTGAAGTAGCACCAAAATTCTCTCCCATGAAGTGTTGCAATCAGCTTAGAGGCTATCTGTATAATAAAATGACAGTCAATATTACAGTTTTCTTTCTAATTTCTTTATTAACTTTCTTGTACGAATTTACCTTCCAGCTACAGGGCTGATTTATCATTCTAATTTGTTCTGTCTATGGAATTTATTTAAAGTTAGCAAAATATTAGGAAACGAACTTATTGGTGCTTAAATCTTCCTTCTGGAAATGTGGTCAAAAATGACAGCTTGTATGTAGAGTTCTGTTGGAATAGGGATTCTAGTAGAGTTGTCACCTGGCTGCGCCTAAAGTACATAAATTACATTGTTAGTCAAGTCTATGCAAATAATTGGCCTTACTTTTTTTTTTCCTTTTTTTTTTTTCTTTTTTGCTTTATATTGTAGAAAACAAAACTAGCAAGGCTATTTCCATGGAGATAGATACATGTACCCCACTGCCCCCTGCCCCAATCTTTTTCTCAGGAGTGATGATAATTCCAATTAGGAGCTTTGAGGCCCTGGGTTGTAATATTACTGAAAATGCCCAGGATCAAAGCAGTGTCACAGGCTCATGCTTGTCTACACTCTACTAAACTCCATGAGTCACTAACTGCAGAAGGGCTTTACAAACACATGTGACTTCAGAGTAATAAATCAAAAAGAATCCTATCTTGATTTCAAGTTTGTCATATAATATATCTGAAGTTTGGGATTGGTTCAGACCAGTGGAAGTATCTGTCCATAGTGAGTTTCACACAAAGCATCTTTCTCATCGCTTCAAAAACAAGTTTGATCTGCTTTTATTTTTTCCTTCAAATTATAAGCTTTTAAAAGGATTTCATTCGCTTTAAAAAAATTCGGGATAGCTTATCATACTAATAGGCTTCTAGAAAGCCTCTATGGTTAATATGGTATTGATAAGGAGAGAAGAAAGAAGTTTGAGTGAGGCCGATGCTTCAACAGATGAGAAAAAAGTGATTCCAAAAGAGTTGTACAATAGGTACAATTAGAAAATTTTAGTTACTAGGCCTTTTGTATATTTGATGTAAAAATGATATTATTTGCTCTTTTAAGAAGAGATAATTATAAATTTAGAACTGAGGATAAAGAGAAGCCTTGGTATTGCCTTTTGCCACATGGTACTTAATTTATTGTGCTAAACAAAATGTGAGTGTCCTGACTGTGCCCCCATCTAAGTTAGTTTTGCTTTTTATTGTTTTTGTGCTATTTTACAACTCTTTAAGTTGTAAAAAATTGATAATAGTGTATAAAATTGACAATATCTTGCCCACAAAGATGCAAATAATTGTGTCCAGTGAAATTCAATTAATCATTGTCCTATATAGAGACCTGTTTTGTTTCAATTTTCCTTATTCCCTGTGCAAATATGTTCTGCTCTTTGAATTCTCCTTTGAAGTGGCTATAATATCTAACTGGTTTCTTCTACAATTTATTAAATGAAATCCTTTGAACATTTGTTATGTCTGCATAAGAATTATGTTTACATTCTTTTAAAAAATTATCTTGTAAATTTTTGGAGATTCTACTGCCAATAGTCATTGGATTTCTCTGATAGATGAATAACCTGCACGATGGAGGAGTGTTGTACCCCTGGGGGGCTTAAACCCATACTCCCAAAGCTAAATCCCTAGTAGCAATAGAAATTTAACGTTGTGGATCTTCTGTCTCTATATTTTCCTTTTTGGCTATTTTTGTGCATTGTTTTTGTCTTTGGAACTTTTAAGGTTGACAAATTATTTCCTGCTGGTGACAGCAATGATTCAGAATGTTGTGGGCTAGCCATTGTGGTCTCTGTAAAAGGATTAATGGATTATAGAGATTTATTCTCCTTGTGTGATATACAATAATCTTTTTTAAGCATTTTATTTTTATTGTTTTTTACTTGTCTATTTTGAGCTCAAATTTAGACTCTTGTGCCCATCAGGAAACAGAACTCTTTGATATATGAATTGGTGATTTTTTTGTGTGTTTACTTCTGATATATGGCTAATACTTAGATCTGAAGTTATAAGCAGTCTTGTGTCTGTGTGTCTAGATGCTTATACTTTAGAAAAACCTTTATCTCTTTTTGGATGAATGCATAATATTTTCCTCTCTCTGGAGGTTAATGAATTAGATTAAAATATCTCATAAATTAAAGAAACTCGGTTCTGATTGGCTTATAGAGTTCTTATAGAAATATGTTCTTATGTAAATCAAATAAAATTCCAAAAAATTAGGAAATTAGGAAATTAAGTTAAATTGTGCTATACTTAATAACTCATCTTTTAAAATATATTTTTTTATTGCACTTTAGGTTCTGGGGTACATGTGCAGATCATGCAGAATTGTTGCATAGGTACATACATGGCAATGTGGTTTGCTGCTTCCATCCCCCTGTCACCTATATCTGACATTTCCCCCATGTTATCCCTCCCCAACCTCCCTATGCCCCACTATCCCTCCCTTAGTAACCCTCCAACGGACCCCAGTGTGTGATGCTCCCCTCTCTGTGTCCATGTGCTCTCATTGTTCAACACTCGCTTGTGAGTGAGAATATGTGGTGTTTGATTTTCTGTTCTTGTGTCAGTTTGCTGAGAATGATGGTTTCCAGATTAATTCATGTCCCTACAAAGGACATGAACTCATCGTTTTTTATGGCTATATAGTATTCTATGTGTATATGCGCCACATTTTCTTTGTCCAGTCTATCATCGATGGGCATTTGGGTTGGTTCCAGGTCTTTGCTATTGTAAAAAGTGCCGCAATAAACATATGTGTGTGTGTGTCTTTATAATAGAATGATTTATAATCCTTTGGGTATGTGAGAACACCCTTTCTCCTTCTTTTTAAGAAATCTGTAATGCATAGTAATTTAGTAGAATCTACTTTATAAAATGAAATGAAGCATTTGAAAATGATACCTGATTTTCATTTATTCCTCTAGGACTCAGAAATTATTATTGTCTTTTTACTTACCATGGCCATTTAGTAATCTGCATCACTTCAGTAAGAACCTGTTATCTTATCTTTTTAACAGGATGTAATTGTACAGATTATAAAACCAAAGCCTTCTCTGTAATGTCACGTTTGAAAACAATGTTCATTGAATCATACAGAAATGGCTGCTTTTAAGGAATTAAGTTTGATTTGACTTATGGAGGTAGTATTTACAGAGACCTTCCAGAAAAACTGGTCTACTTCTTGGTTTTAATGGTCAAGAATATTGTATACTACATATAACTTATCTTAAGATATTTTAAGACTTTTAAAAGAGACTAATTTACCCAAAATTGTAGGTTTTATAGGTGAAATCTTGTAGACAGAGTTTATTGGATTTAGTTTTCAAGCATCAGGATGACCATTAATAAAGGGTTTTAGAAGTCTAATTTGAGATTTCTTGTGTTTCTTCAAAATTGTATAGCCTTAGAATTAACAACTCAAATTTATGGTGACCTATATGGTAAAATAACACTTTTGCTACACCTATATAAACAGTAAGACAAACCTAGTAAGACTAGCTACATTTTTATTATCAAGAGTAACCTTTCCAAAATTATTATGATAAAAAGAGGGAAGGAGACATTCTGCCTGGGAAACTTGTGAGAAACTTTGAAATGGGCAAAAAAAAAAAAAAAAAAATCAAACAGTGGGCATCTTAACTACTCACTCATTTAGCCTTTCTCATTAATGATCTATATTACAATTCTGTAAATTGCAGAAATCTGACAATAATTCAAATAATTTTTGCATTGATTTTTAAAGACCCTTTTTAATTTATGTGTAAATATTTTAAAATTTGTTTATCCACTTTTTATGTTTCTGCTCTTTGAATTCTCTGGAACCAGTTGTAATACCTTACTGGACTCTCATTAATTAATTAATGAGTTAAAAATCTTTGCCCCATGTTTACTTTATATCTATATGAGAATGATGTGTCTATCTTCTTTTAAAAATTGTTTCTTAATAATATATAGCAAGAGTGCTAAAAGCAGTCACACATACACAACACTAACAGCAAACAATGTAACTGGCTGAGAAAATCCAGCACTTAGAAAGCTCTCCCTTCACATTCATTGCACTATAAGGAGCTGTGAAAATATTACTTACTGCCTGAAACCATTACTGGGTCCCAGGAGAGATGGCACTCCAGGACAAGTATAAAATGTGGGTAAAACAAGACATTGGAGTAAGACCAACAGTAAAAAGTTACTGAAGAATAACAATTGGTGGAACAAAATGAGAAGATTCTAATCTTATTCTACCAAACCCCAGAATAATTACAGATTTAAATATATCAAAAGAATCATAAAATTATAGCAAAATATACCCAAATATTTTTCTGATTGTTGTAGAGCAATCTTTTTAAATATAGAAGCAATCAGAAAGAGAAATCTGTAGCTAGGACCATAGAAAAATTTGAAATTTAAAATTTTGCATGCCAAAACAATTGTAAACTTTAGAAGATATCTAAATTGTGGCATGCCACCAAAAATATGATAGCCAAACGTTTTCTACCCTCTATACATAGAATACTTTAAAATTTTATTTTAAAATTCCCTCTAAAACCCTATAGGAAAGTAGGTAGAAGGCAATAACAATTCTAGAAAAGAGGAGATTGGGAATGGTGGCTCAAGCTTGTAATCTCATTAATTTGGTCAGCCAAAGTAGGAGGATTGCTTGAGGCCAAAAGTTGGAGACCAGCCCTGGCAACATACTGTCTCTAAAACAAACAAACAAACAAACAAATAAAAATAATAATAATAAAAAAAAACCAAAACACTTAGGCATGGAGATTAGTGCTTGTGGTCCCAGCTCTGCCAGAGGCTGGGGAGGGGGGATGTGCAGGGTGGAAGTGGGATCATTTGGGCCCAAGAGTTCTAGGCTACAGTGAGTTATGATTGTGCCACTGCACTCCAGGCTGTGACAGAGCAAGACTCTGTCTCTAAAATAAATATATAAATAAGAAATATTATATACTGGCATGCCTATAAAAGAAATGTTCATTTCCAATAGTAATAAAAAATGCAAATCAAAATGACTCCAAACAAATTTGGACTGTGAAATTAACAAAATTAAAAAGTATGTAAAATAAAGAGGGCATGGGAAACGGGAAATTTTAAACAGCCCAGATATAATTGTAAATTGGCATGGTCTAACTGCAAAGCAATTTGACAACATGTATCTAAAACTTTAAAAAACACATATATTTTGACAGATTTCCATTTTAGAAATCTGTCCTAAGTGGGGGTAAAATCAGAAACTTGATTGTAGAGAGTTGTTAATTAAACTGAAGGGAAAGCAGA